AGAACGAGGCAGTTAAAAGTTTTACTTTCAGAGATAYTGTAGGTGCTAATACTGGATTTAACCTTTCAGATGTAATTTCTTTTCTGGATGTGGTAGTTATTCAATAAATCCCATAGGTCTGTGTAATATTTTAATTGTATAAAACTTTGTTACTTTATAGCCTCTTATAGTGTGTCTGCCTTTTAAACCCATTGCAATAACTTTGCTGAAATATTAACACATTAGTAAAACTTTTCTTAAACAAAAAAAAAAAAAAGAGAAATTGGGGTCTGCTTTAATAGGACCMTATAATGTGCCGCAGAGTACGAAGTTTTAAATTGAGCAGGAGTTTGGTGAAGTTGGTATATCATCACATTTATGGTGGCARTAGGCAGGCTGGGAGAAGTGAAAATGCCAAGAAAAGAGAGCTTTCCTTTTATATGCAAGAGGATGTTAGAGGAGGATCGGTAGATTACAGGCACCAGTACCAATGAAAAAGTAGAGGTACAAAATGTTTCGCAGAAGCAAGTCAGAACAAACACTGAAGGAATCAGTGAAACAGGGTACCCATCTACAGGGAACACCTTCATTGGCATTCTTTACATTTAGAACAAATATTTCAGGAGATAAGGTCACCAGATTAAAATATAGGATGCTCAGTTAAACTTGAATTTCAGATAAACKATGAATAATTTTTTAGCATAAATGTATTTCATGCAGTATTTGTTGAACACTTTTTTGCTTCTCTGAAATTCAAATAACTGGGTATTTATCTGGAAACTGGTAATCTGATATGATAAAGAGGTCTTTAAGGAGGAAGCCTCATGATCAAACTCCAGATCTGACCCCCATTTGATGATGGAGTGTTTGGATGAGCGTCACCACTTTTACTTGGAAGTACAAAGTCCAGGCTCCACTAGAGCATTTCCTAGAACACAAGGAGAATTTTGGGGAAAATTCTTTTTTTGCTTAAGTGATGGTAGGGATTACACTTTATGAGAATTTGATAAATACAAAAAAATAGGGGAAATAAAATTGAACTCTAGTAAAGAAGGGGGCATCTAAACTAAAAGCATCTAATAATACTCAGCAGACTAGAGGGACAGTGTCTTGTGTATTCAGGGGAACAGAAGGGGGTGTTGTCCCCTCAGAGAGGGGTCATCCAGTCTGCTTTATCAAGTGTGCACAGGGCTGGGCTGCATTGTTTTTCATTCCCTTGATAGACACTGGCTCTTGTGTTCTGGATTCTGTTTTTTATTGGGGCTGTAAAAACATTACAGAAACCCAAACAGTAAACACTCTGCTGAGAATGTGAKGTCATAGTAACATGACCTCACAGGGAGCCAGGGCCTTGGAAGGCTGTATAGATACAGACCCTGGAGTCCTGGGACTGGAGTTCTGGGAAGGGGCCTAGGAGAGGAAGTATGGCCTCCACGCACCCTAGGGGCTGTGATGGCTATTCGGTGGTTTCTCTGTTGCTGCTGGTGAGTTTGTAGGCTCCCACACTGCCAGGTGTTGGTTTGAGAGGAGCATTTTCTGTTTTGTTCTAAAAGCATCGTGAGTTGTGAAATAGGAGAGAATGAAACCGTCTAGGGATGGAATCATTTGCCCTCACTTTGTTCTTTATCTTCTCCTTCTGGCTGAAGATTTTCTGAAGATCCAGAGATGTTTCATGCACATGGATTTTAAAAATTACATCCTCTAGTGCATGTRAGAAAAAGTGAAATTAACTGGGCTGGGCAAGCTAGTAGAAGGAAGAGGCAAATATGTAGGATGAGATATGAGAAATAGGCATGGATTTGAGGAGTAAATTCTTCATATATGCTAATTAGGATCAACTTCTTGTGTTTGGACAAAATCAGTCCATTACTATATATCTGGTGTAATTATGTTGTTTTTATGGAGTAGCTAAATGTATGCCATGAACTTGCCCTAAGAAATGAGCAATAAGTGGCAGTTTCACTGTGAAGAAAGTTCATTCTTTGACATTTTTTTTTTTTTACTACAAGAGAGCCATTATAGAGAGAGAAGGATTAAGTGGAAACAACTCCTGGGTTAGATATATATTTAATCATAAAAACAAGAGACTTGATTATAACTAATATAGTTCTTGGTGTAAACAGGAGGAAAAGGGCAATTTGTAATGATGTCCTTTACATGAAACTTCTCTTGTAAGTTTACTTGTTACAGATTTGCTGTAGGTAATTAAATATTTAGTTTTTCCCAAAACTAGCTGATTTTTTAACTTCACACAGGTAGATTCTGGATGAAAACAACTTGCATGCTTTCTCATGAAGATTTCAGCACAATTAGGCAATTCATTGTAAATGAAGTATTTTCTGTTGGAAAATTAAAGTGACTTAATGTTTAAGGGTGTTACGATATGTCTTGATTGGCCTGGGTCAGTTCTTGTATGCTAGTTGTTTTGCAATTGACTATGGTTTAGTATTTGACATAGATTTTAAAAAGTATTATTAGTATTTGCAGTAAAATAAGATAGCATGGGTTTGGTAGACCTCCATTTTGTACTCTGAGCTTCTTCTATGATCTCAGTGGTGAATATATGAGTTGACATGTGTATTGAATAGAATTTTCACATAGTTATATCTAACTGAAAGGCAATCTGGGATATCCTGCTCCTCTTTTCCCCAAATCACAGCCCCTTGCAAGGGCAGCYGGCAGGTTCTCACTGATGAAGTGCAAGGTGTACTTGGAGAGACGTTGTTGGGGACAGTTAGCCCCTTCAAGTTGGTGTGGTTGGGAGTATTTATGGGCTCTGCCCAACTGGTGTGCAGTAGCCTTGCTCTGTTCAGTGACAGCAAATCTGCCAGACCACCCTGTTGGAAGAGCAGTGGAAAATGGGAAATTGTAAATTGAGTGGAATATGTGACAAGATAGAGATTGACCTGCTCTACTTAAAAATGTTTTCTTGCTGTAGTGATTTTCATCCTTGCATGCTGTGAGTTTAAAACCTATGAAGTTCAAATTAAAAAAAAAAATTGTGTCAAAGCTCTAATACTATAGTGATTTTTTTAAAGTATAAAATTCAGTGTTTTTAATATGTACAGAATTACTTAACGTCACCCTTAGGCCACGGTAAGGGTATTTTCTCACCCTGAAAAGAAACCATACCCATTTAGGAGTACTGTTTAATAAAAATTTTTTAACCTTGTAACAGTTATGATGACGTAATGACTTTTATCAACATCGCTCACTCCCTTCAGAGTGCCCTAGTTCACAGTAAAAGGTACTTGCAGAGTGGGGCAGGTTAAAGACAGTGGGATAGAGCAAGGGCTTGCAAGCTACTGTGCATGGGCCCAGTTCACACCAGCTGGGAATGGCTTTATGTCTCTAAAGGTTACCAGCAAGGCAGTGTGTGAGATGGGGACCTGAGATGGCCTGCATGTCTTAAATATTCGCTGTCTGGTTTGTTGTGGAAACTTTGGACTCCCTGATTTAGAGTCTGTGGTTAATTTGTGCTGCAAGGCCATTTAATCAGCATTTTACGAACATGACTTTGTGATCAGGTGAAAACATTTGGAAATGGACTCTGTGCTCATTGGTTTGGAGTCCATGAGGTAACCCTCTTCAGAAAGCCCAAGCTGTGGTTTGTGACTCCAGTCAGAGGTTCTCAAAATGTGGCTTGTGGAGCTGGCTTCTTTCAGGAGTTGTGTGAGGATGAAAACTTATCTTACGTCGACTGCTACCACAGTGTTTTCCTGTTCACTGTGTTGATGCTGTACTGTGTGACAGCAGTGGTGGGCGTCGTAATAGAAATCAAGGCAGTGGCACCAGACTGTTCTAGTTGTTGTCATATTCTTCATTGCCAGGCACTCAAAGTAAAAAGGCCAGTTCATTTTAAAATGTCCTTGGTGGAGCCACCTCAAATTAATTTTATTACATTTTGAAATCTGAATTTACATTGTTTTAATTTTACCTATGAGCAAATGGGAACAAACCATGTGTGCTCCTGACCCTTGTCTTCAGGAGAAGCACTCTTGTCATTTGAGTTGGGGCTGTAAACTTCTGCTTGTCCTCAGGGAATGTCATTTTGCCTTGCAACAATGGCAAACTGTTGGTTACAAGCCTATCATTTAAGGAAAGCAACTGACAATATTATTTGGAGCCAATGATTAAATTTAAGCTTTTGATCAAAACTTTAAATTCTGGAAAACTTATATTCTCTGATYAAAACTTTGAGAGCTTCCCAAAACTTAGAAGACTTTTCTGAAGATTTTAATGTAAGAGGGTTAAAAAGTACACTGATAGATTTCTAGTTTGCAGCAAACTTTCAAGAAACTTCCATTTGTTTTATTTTGATATCAAATGTAAAAGAATATTAAACTACATATTAGTTTGCCAAAATATCTCTGAGGTTAGACTTTCTTAATATACATTAATCAAAATAATATGTTAACAAATTGAACATAGAAATGACTCTGGGAATTTAATTTTCTTCTAATAACCCAACCATTAAATTTATAAAAAATGAAAACCACTAACATTTGTCTCATTAAGTTTTGTTTTTTGGGAAAATAGCTATATAAAATGAAATATGTATTACATGAAGTGCATTTATTTACTTTAAAGGAATTAATATTTATTTTTTGCTCTCATTATCAATATGCTACATCTCAGAAGACATGATCAACATAAGCAGAAGCTTGGTTGGAGTCTTTGAAAAATGTGTTTTTGTGATACTGGAGATTGAACTCGGAGCCTCATGTGCATGCTAGTCAAATGTTCTACCTCCAAACTATAACCTGCAACCCCAATTCTTAAAAATGTAAAGGTCCTGAGACAAAATTTAAGTTTTAAAAACCTCATCTAGAGTTTAAGCAATCACTTCTTAGTCTTTTGAAATAGAGCAGTGGAAAATGTTTATGAATATTTAAACAAAATAACCATTTTTAAAATAGTTTTTATTTGGTTGGTTTTTCAATATTTTAATTTAACAGATATTTCTTATTTTTTTGGCCAATAAGAAAAATCTTTTTTTTTTTTTTAATCAAATTTTACAGCAATGCTGGGTTGAAATCAACACGACTAGTGGCTAATTCTGAAATGGGGAGCACAGAAATCCTRGAAAAGGAGTCTGCAGAAAGTCTCAGTAACGGTACCAGCAGCAACTTGGAAGCAGCTAAACGACTAGCCAAACGCCTTTATCAACTAGACAGATTCAAAAGGTCGGATGTCGCAAAACACCTCGGCAAGAAGTACGTTCTGGCCCAAGGCTGGTGTCTCAGTTGATCGTGTGTGTGTGTGTGTGTGTGTGTGTGTGTGTGTGTGTGTGTGTGTGTGTGTATTTTAATAGTTTGCATTTCACTAACCAATTCTATTCTGTTTTCTTATAGCAATGAATTTAGCAAACTAGTTGCAGAAGAATATCTGAAGTTTTTTGATTTTACAGGAATGACCCTAGATCAGTCTCTCAGGTATGCTTAAACATCACTTCTATTCTTGCCTCAAAAATAAATTCTTAGAAAGTCGTGTGGTTATTTATTTTTTTAACACTCTAACTTTGGGAACTTAGATTCTATTATAGAAACTAAACGAAACAGATTAAAAAAAATGTTTATGTGAGATAATGCAAGAATGGATATACTGCATCTAGTTATAAGCCCAAGTCCAAATGATATAGTAAAGAATAGTGGTAAAGCAAATCTGGGGAGGAGGGGAGATTCTTGTTGAATTTTTAAAAATTGCAGTTAATTGCACATGTCAAAATTTACCATCTTAACCATTTTTAAGCATACGGTCCATGGTAGTAAATGTACAACGTCGTGTGACTGAATGTCTGTATAACTCTTTACATCTTGTAAAGCTGAAACTCCACACCTATTAAACGATAACTGCATTTCTCCTAGAAACCACTGTTCTACTTTCTATCTCTGATTTCAGCTACTCTGATTTTATCATATAAGTGGAATCTTCAGGGTTTGMCTTTTTGTGACTGGTTGATTTTACTTGGCACAATGGCCTCAAGATTTCTCTGTTGTAACATTCCTTGTGAAGGTTGAGTAAGAACCCATTATATCCACTTGTTCATCAAATAGAAACGTGGGTTGTTTTCTACATTTTATCTATTGTGAATGATGTTGCTGCGAACATAGGTATGYAGCTATCTCTTTGAGAACCTGCTTGCAATTATTTTGAGTAGGGAATTTGATTTTTGAATGATCAGTTTAAAAAAAGAAAGTTTACAGATTGTAGAATTATAGAATTTTTTCCCTAAGCATTTATTTGCTTATAATATTCAGATAGTCTTTTAAGATGATATTTTGGAATAAGCTCTTAAATAGAAACGTAAGCATAATTGGCAGAAAGTACTTGTAAAATTGTCTTTAGCAATATTCACTTTTTCTGACCTTTTCAACTGAAGGTGTCAACGAACACAATGATTCTCACTTAACATCACATTATACTGCAGGTTTTTATGAGATAGTGAAGGTTAAAACTCACAAAGATTTAATCTTATAAACTATTTATAAAATACCAGGGCCTAGAAAAGTTCCAAGATACCTAGTGTAATGTTCTAATTTCACGAATCGGGAAGCTGAGGCCTGTGAGGTGAAACAGGGATTGGATTATCCATGGGTCTTTCTATGAATCTCAAAGGTCCTTGTAGGTTTTCTAATGAACAGTGGGGAGTGGAGGAAGGTCTGTATATGGCTTTGTGTTCTGATGTGACATGTTTAAAAAAAAATGAAAAGTTCACGTGATCAGCATACTTCAGATTTGCAAACTGTAAATTTCTAATAGGAAAGAAGGCAAACTTTTCATAGAAATAAGGTTCATTATGATTTTTTACAATGGGTTCTTTGGAACATTTTAAAGGATTTCTTATCCTCATATAGGGTAATATATCTACATTGTCATGAGGGATTAATCTGTAATAATAAMTAATAGTTAACTGGTTTAGATTATCCTTATTTAAAGAATAAATCAAGGTTTTATTTCCCAGTTTCCTCCTCATATCAAATTAGTAAAATGTGAGGATGGCCAAAATTAACAAATCGCCTGTATACAAGCAATGTAATTGTAATTAAAGTGGTGAGTTATTGGAGATGACAGTMATGTGCATGATGACAAAAGAACACTGCTATATGCAGAGTTTTAAAACATAGCCTGTATGATTGTGCATTGAGTCCTGTTTTATCTGATGTTTTACAACTGGCTACTTGGCAGTCATAATGGGGGAAATTACCCACCTTCTCCAGGCTTATTTGATGTATTGGCTACCTTGTTATTACCCTGTCACTTTTTATATTGACATGTTGTGGACTATAAATATGAATGCAAATTTATATTATCATCTGATAAGAGATTTGTGGAAATAAGTATAATTCCTATAATATATTGATATAATAACTATAATATCTATAATATTTCTCTTATGTTAATATCAATTAATATAAAAAATTAGGTAAATTTTCTGAAGTTTTTTTCTCATTTTTTTTTTTTTTTTAGGTATTTCTTTAAAGCCTTTTCTCTTGTGGGAGAAACTCAAGAACGAGAAAGAGTTTTAATACACTTCTCCAATAGATATTTCTCTTGTAACCCAAATACAATTGCTTCACAAGGTAATCTGTTGGAAATCCTTGAATTTACTTTTATAATGATGGTGTTATTTTCCTTTTTAGGAAAATTACATTTTAATGTAGACATAAAGGAAATTATACAGAAGTAAATGGAAGATCACCTAAGTAGATCCATCTAGGGAAACAAATAATATCAACACTAATTTACTTCCTTTTAGTCTATTTTTTAATCATATTTAATATCAAATCAAAATCATGTTACAGTTTATTTCCTACTATCTTTCCCTTTATTTTCTCATATTACATTTATTTTTCTTAAAAGCAACATGATATTCTTTCCTCTTTTTTTAACCCTATTTTCCAATCCGCAGTGTGACAGGATACTGTCTTCTTCACATTGCTCAGCTTTGTCATTGAGATTTTACATAGAAAACACACATAATAAATGCCAGTTTTCTTATTTCTTCTTCTCATACCCCCGAGCTMTACACTTCTTCATGAAAACACACATGTGATTAGTTTTGGAAACAACTTATAAAGTTGACTGAAAAAATTATGGTGTATCTCTGGTGCTTCTCTTTCATATTGATTATATAAACACTGACCACCAACTTTATAATTTTGATGAACTATGAGTTTATTCATTGTATTGTTTTTTACAAAGTATATTTAAATTGTTTACCTCCCTTATGAAGTGAGGTTCTTTTTCTCCATTTCATTCCCTGCAATAAAGCAATTTATCTCTTACAAACTTAGAAATTCTGGAGTAAATATGAGMCTAGATGTACAAAAAATAATTCTCTTAAATAGAGACTAGTAACTGTTGACCAAGGTGATTGCTTTCCTGCCTCTTCCTGTTTCCTAGGCTGCAGCTATAGTTAATTAACTGATTATTAAGGTTACATTTCTATGTAACCTTAAACTGGTTTTGTTTGCACAGTTATTACTGTTTCTTTATTCTTCAGCATTGTTTGTTTCTTTATTCTTCAGCATTGACTAGAGAATGAAAGAGATGCAAGATGCAACTCCATTGGCTGTTGATAAGAATATTGAGAGTTTGCAGAGTTTTATAATTTAGGAATTTGCTTTAAATGTGTTAGTGATAATAAGTGTGTGTTTGTGATAATAAAATAGAACTGTAGTAAACATACTTTGGGGCATTTAGTAGTGTCTGCTTAGAGACATTGATAACCGAAATCACCTTCTGTACTGAAAGCCATACTTTCAAAAGACAAGTTTATGAATTCATTGAATGATTTTTCAGTTAGCATAAATTCATAAGATTTTTTACTGCATCATAAAGAACTGATATATCAATTACACTTGGATTGGGAATTACTAGGACAAGAATAAGGAGAACAACTAATTTTGCTCTTTGGAAATAAGAAACTTGATTCTTCTTTCCATTTCAATCTGTGTATTTGAAGAACATTTTTAATGACCTCAGCATAACAGAATTGTGTTTTTGGAGGTTCGTATTTGTCTTCTGACATGAGCTATTTCTCTGATTATCTTCATACTTTATGTAGATCCTTTACAGTTTCCTTAGTGTAAAAGCTTGGAAGTAATTTTGTTGTGTCAACTTTCCTCCAGAGAGGTTGGAATAACTTGGTAATCAGTGGAATCCAACTCTGTCATTGAGGTCTTTCTTATAATTTATTCTTTTTAATTTTCCAGTCCTCCCTCCCTCCCCCCTCCAAAAAAAAAACCAAATGTGATTAGTGGTGTTTAGCATAGTATTTTTCTATAGATTACTAGTGTATGCTATTTTAATGATGAGGGGAAATCCAACAGTAAAACTGAATTAATGGTTTCTGTTCTCTTTAGATGGAGTCCACTGCCTTACCTGTGCAATTATGCTTCTTAACACTGATCTACATGGCCACGTAAGTGTAGGTTTGTGGAGCTGTCTGGAAAGAGTATCATGGGCTTATCTTTGCTGTTGCATCCAAACACATTCTATGCCTACTTTATCTTATTCTCAATATAGTTTCCAAGGCATGTTGATAAATGTAAATCTTTGAAAAAAGAAATAATTATTTTACATGCTAACACAGAGCATAATTATAAGTACATACCATATTGTCCAGGTGCTGAGTGGTTTTTGCAGTAAACTCTGCTCTGTATCTTGTTTCACCACCATGTGGTAGGCAGAGGTTTTACCTGTTTTTATTTTGCTTTTTGGTTGGGTATTATGGTAATACAAAAAGTTGGAAAAATAAATCACAACTGAAAATGTCATTCGGGTTTTCACTAAATACAGTATCAAGTCTTTCAGCCTTTTCTGCACATTTCAGCTCATCTAGTTTTTTTTAACGAGTTAAAATGTCAAAATATTGAAAACAGAGGATAAACTTCTTAAATTTACAATTTTAGGTAAAATTTCAGTTTTTATAGAAGTGAAATATATTTAAACTCTTCACATCATAGAACTGTAAAAATATACATTAATATGCATGTTTATTAACAAAAATTCTTTCATAGTTCTAGATCCCTTTATTTTGAAGAATAAAAATCAATTATGTGAACTGAAGAAAAATAATTTAGATTTTGAAAGCTATACTAAGAGTGCTATTTAGATACTAGTTCTATTGCAAAAAGCCACATAGTTCCCTTACTTGAAATGTAATGCTGCTCTWTAAAAGAGGCAAGATGGAGCTGTACAGGACCATTAGGTTGAAGTAATGGTTAATGAGAGAGGACTGGGGTGGAGCAAGAGTGCCCTGTAGTGAGATAAAGGGGAAATGTATTGGTAGAATCAAATTTTAACATCTTCACAAATCTCAAAACTATTGAAGTCCCTTTCACAATTTGTAAGAGGTGGATTATGATAATGGTATGAAGACACATAGAATTGGACTGTGTCCAGAGATTACACAGACTGCAAATACAGATGTGTTTTCAGGGAGCATTCTKGGATAGTAGTCTGCAGTGCATCATGTAGAAATGATGGCACTGTGATTCCCACAGCATGAGCCTTGAACTGAGCATTAGAATTAGACATTCTTTCAGCTCATTGAAAGGATGACCAAACTCTGGATTGTTGGGGGACAAACAAGTGTTTACTATATTCTTCTCTGCTCTTTTTGTGTTATCAGTTTGACCCTTCCCATTCTTTCTTGTCCACCCCTCAATTTATTAACCTAACTTTCTGGCCAAGGGAGATAATTTTGAGTATGCTTGTCCACTTACAACATTGACCAACCCACCAATTCCCTACACGAGGAGTCCTTTCCACATTAGCTATTTTGAAGTCCCAAGAGTGTATGACAGGTATATGAACTATATATGAACAAGTATATGAACAATAGCATCTGGTGACTGAGAAGATGTGTAAGGATGGAGAAAATCTAGTAATAGTTCAGTTTTCGTTTAAGGGTCTAGGATCACAAAGAATTTTTTATAGGTTGATTTTTGTGGGGACTCATTTCTATTAAATCCAACATTGCTTTTTTTTAAAACTCATATAGCTTTTATAATATCTTGAAATAAACATGTATCTTATAATAATTTGAAATATAGCAGCAAATAAAAGCATAAGGTTTTTATTTAGATAACTTAGTGTGGTTAATGTCCAGGCAAGCTCTGGACAACCCAGTATCTGTGGTTCACAGGTTCAGTGTACAGATCTAGGCTATTTGCTTTCTTCCTATCTTTAGGCAACTTTGGAGGAATTGTAAGGAGATTAGTGTTTTTTTTTTTTTTGTTAAATGCACTTGGAATGAAAAAGATGGTGTATATAAATGTTGTCTTGAGTTTCATTTACAAATAATTAACAATTGGCTCGGATAGTAAAATTACTGATACAACTGGGAGAAAATGATAAAWAACATTAAATATATTATCTTTTGGATCATGATTTTGGTGATAATTGGTTTTCAGCTTTGGTTTTTAAAGTTTATACTATATACTTAGGACTATGTGTTATTTAGGCTTTATTAGTGTTTTTTTTAATCCTTATTTACAGTGCATGCTGTTAAAGTCTGATATGTAGTAGCTATTAAAAGAACTAACCATATGAAAATGTTTCTTTTATCTTCCCCTCTGGATTCATTTTAAAAATAAATTTTCCTTCTAGGTGGTAAGTTTTTATCCATAATTCTGGGTATAGCTTCTCTTGCATCATGATTGCCTGATTTATTGTAATAGTGTCTGACTTAGCAGCATGGCCCCTGTACAGTTAAATCATTTAGAAGATGAAGTAAATTATTTCTAATCTCTGCTTCTTTCCCTTAATGCTACTSTCTAGGCCATCCGTGCCCATACTTAATCCAATGCCAGAACAATCCTGTTGAGAGTAAACTAATAGATCATTTTCCTTTCCTTCCTTACCATGTTGGCATAATAGCAGTCCAGCAGCATGACTCTTCTAAGAACTGCTCTGACCAGCTTCTTCTCATGCTTTATATGGGGGAGGGCTGAGTTTGGGAGATTAACTTATATTGGCTGTTCTTTGCATCATTCCTTAAAAGAAGGATTCAAAAYGAAAAAGTGTTGGAATGGGCTTTGGCCTGCTAATGTTTTTACTAATAAAATGATGGAATGTATACTAATACTTCTAACAAGTAGCTCCGTGTTACATATTGGAATGCTTTTCTATCTTTTAMATGTATTCTTGCACTAAACAAACATTGATAGTTTTCCTACTCCATTCCTAGTTCTATGCCATCTGGGTAAGGATCAGGGATGAAGGAGACAGGTTCTTGGTGGAAGCCACTCATCGCCTCCATTAGTTGAATTTAACTGGAGACAAGGCTAGCAGGTTACTGAACGGCTATGGTGGAAAAATTCTGGCTAGATGTTTTGATTTAATGTAGGGTTGTAGTTAAACCTTGATAACTAGACTAGGAAGAAAAACACAGCTTCAAATATATTTTTKGGGGTGAAATTTTTTAGTACATTTCAGTACCTGCTTTAAAAAACACATGCATGGTTAATCATATTAGCAGTAGTTTTGATTTTCATTCTCTTGTCTGAGTATATTCTCTTAGGATAGATATTTATTTATTTAAATGTTTAGGTAAATATTTGTGGTCATGGGGTTATTTGCTAAGTAATCTTTTATTTTTAAAATCTTTAAATATAAAATATACATGCAAGTTAAACATACATATAAATTTCTAGTAGAACAAACTCCTGCTCTTTTGAGCTATCAGTAAAAGAAGACGAAAATCTTTTTGTTGCTTAAATCTTACTTTTTTTGTGTGTAACAATGYGGGTCTCCTTCCATCTTCCGTGCAATTCCCCTTCTCTCTTCCGTTCCCTCCCACCTCTCGTCCCTGTTTGATGGTAATCATCTTCTCATGCTCTTCCTCCCTGCTCTGTTTTGAGTCGCCCCCCTTTATCAAAGAGGACATTCTGCATTTGTTTTTTAGGGATTGGCTGACTTCACTTAGCATAATCTGCTCTAATACCATCCATTTCCCTGCAAATGCCATGATTTTGTTATTTTTTAGTGCTGAGTAATATTCCATTGTGTATATATGCCACATTTTTTAATCCATTCATCTATTGAAGGGCATCTAGGTTGGTTCCACAGTCTAGCTATTGTGAATTGTGCTGCTATGAACATTGATGAAGCTGTATCCCTGTAGTATGCTCTTTTTAGGTCTTTTGGGAATAGTCCGAGAAGGGAAATAGCTGGCTTGAATGGTGGTTCCATTCCCAGCTTTCCCAGGAATCTCCATACTGATTTCCAAATTGGCCACACCAATTTGCAGTCCCACCAGCAATGTACAAGTGTACCCTTTTCCCCACATCCTTGCCAGCACTTGTTGTTTGACTTCATAATGGCTGCCTTTCTTACTGGGGTGAGATGGTAACTTAGAGCAGTTTTAATTTGCATTTCTCTGATTGCTAGAGATGGTGAGCATTTTTTTTCATGTATTTGTTGATTGATTATATATCTTTTTCTGAGAAGTAACTGTTCAGATCCTTGGCCCATTTGTTGATTGGGTTAAGAGGGAAGGGGAGAAAAAACGAGAGAAATGAGGTTACGGTAGATGGGATAGAGAGAGGGGAGGGGAGGGGGGAAAGGAAGGGGATAGGAAGGGCAGCAGAATACAACAGACACTAATATGGCAGTATGTATAAATGTGGCTGTATAACCAATGTGATCCTGCAATCTGTACACGTGGGAATAATAAGAATTTTTATACCCCATTTGAAATAAATGTATGATACATTGATCTTGATATATAATGTTTTGAGCAACTAATAAATTTCTGATGTTTAAAAAAAAATCTTACATGTTATCGGAAATGTTATGAATGAAAGGATTTGACATGTCGGAATAAATTTAAATTTACTTCACATCTTTTGTATTGACTGTAACTAGCTATCTCTCTTGTACTTTGAATGGTCAGGATTCAGCCACCCCGAAAGCATTAGTCCCTGAGCCTGAAGACAAGGGCCGGGGAGTAGGCAGGCCCTTATCAGCAGGGCTCACTGTCTCAGGGTGGGAAGCTTTAGACACAGACTGGAATTGCATGAATGGTAGATATGGGCATAGTTATGTGGCCAGTTTCACAACTAGGTCTCAAAAGAATGCCCAAGTCGGTGGCTAGCTACAGTTGGGCCATGGTTAGAGGCAATAGCTAGACAGTTTTTAATCAAACGTTCTAACAATCTACCATTCATCACTGTGACTTGATTTTTAGTAGCAGTTTCATCCAGCATCTGTGCTGTCCAGTATTGGCAAGAGCCAGCTCACCTTGTGCAGTGGGTACAAGAGGTAGAGGCTGGAGCAGTGCTTCTCTGCCTCTGGCCGGACCTCCTCCATAGGCTTTGTTCTTGGGATGCACAGGGTATGCTGAATATCATCCTCTGTAGTCTCATTTATTATAGGGCAGGATCTTGATGTTTTGGGGGGTTACAGGTTAAAGGA